CCAACTGGGGTAAATCCCAGGAATGCAGGTTTGGTTTAGCATTAACAAAGGAATCAGTATAATTCACCATATCAACAGAATGAAGAGGAAAAGCCACAAAATCCCCATAGGTGCAGAGTAGTCAACACCATTCATGAGAAAAATTTACAGCAAAGTAGGAATAGAAGAGAATCAATTCACAATCTGATAAAGGGCATCTACAAAAACATGTGCCAAAATCATATGCTACTGCAGTAGGGCAAGAAGTGAACAAGCCACAGGCCCTGTCCTTGTCTGCAGTGTCTGAGGGAAGTTGGACAGGGAAAAGCATTATTGCCAAGCCATTGTATTGGGGCCTTTGAACTCGCTGATCCATTTCCCCCAGACACTCTTCTTCCGGATGCCCAAGAGCCCACGCCTGCTGCTCATTTACAGACATGTGGGTCTCTGCTCCCATGTCACCCTCTCCGTGAGGCTTGCTCTCACCATTCTACTGAAAATTACAGCCTTTCCCTATCCTGCTTTAATGCTTTCCATAGCCCTATTTTCTAAGACCCCATATTCACTCATTTTGGTTATTCTTGTTCTCTTCCCACTGAAATGTAAGCTCTGTGAAGGTGAGGATTAATGTATAATTAGTACTTTGTTGTATTCCCAGCTTAGAACAGTGCCTGGGACATTGCACATAACCCAATAAATATGGATTCAATGAATGAATGAATGAATGAATTAGGGGCCCCAAGGAGACCAGTGGTGTGGAAACTGAGAGGAGGGTAGGTGAGGAGGATCAGAGATGGGTCCATGGAAGAGTTGCCATTTGCCATGAGCCATGAGAGTTGGGCAACATGAGAGTGGGTGAGAAGGGCATGTGAAATGGAGGGAACAGTATAAGCAAAGGAATGGAGCGTGGAGGTGTGAAAGCTGAGAGGGAGGGAGAGACTTCTCAGCAGAGATTAGACTTGAAGTTGGAAGTTCAGGCTCTTTCCAAGAATGTGACCTTGAACCAGGGACCCTCTCTTGGGCCTGAATTTTTGCTTGTGGCTCTAAGGATGGTAGGGTGGGGGCATTGAGGAGGCCGCTCTTGGGGCCCTGACAACAGGGATCAGGGTCAGGCTTCATTAAGAGAAGAGGATGGACAGGGTCAAGCATAAATGATCACAATATGGAAGGCCCCGCATTTTCTTCATTTCTTTAAAGAGCAGAGTTCTTGTGCTCAGAATCATGCCAAATACTGAAGGGCCACAAGCCCCTTATTTGGGAGCCTCCTGTTTTCTGAACTTGAGAGCTTACTGTGTGCAAGGCCCTGTGATAAGAGCTTTGTTATTGTACTAAACCACTCTATCCCTTTGCACCAGGTACTGTTTTTATTCCCATTGTATAGAAGAGTAAATGGAGGTCTAAAGAGGTTAAGTCATTTGCTCAAGGTCACACAGCTAGTGAATGGCAGCACCCTGCTGTCTCAGAAGTTCACCTTCCAGCAGATATCAGTAGGCAGAGAGCTGAGCAAGACCATGTCCCATCACAGAGTGCTGCTCACCACTTAGCCACAGGCCTTCAACTCACTGGGTGACGCCCACCACATTAGGGAGGGCAGCCTGCTTTATTCATTCCACTGGTTACATGTTGATCTCATCCAGACACCAGGGGCCCAGAGAAAGACCTTAACACGTCCATGTAGGCCTTGGGGAGTGTTGTTGAGTGGGGGATAGTGGGATAGACATGCCCACCAGCAGCTGAGATGCATGGATGAGCCAAATATGTGCGAGCTGGAGCAGCACACACCTTTGGCGGATAATTTAAACTGGAGTCTGCTCTCAGTAGAAAAGCCTTATGAGCCAGGACCTGCTTCTTTAACAGAACATGCTGCTGCATCCAAGTGAATTGGGCTGTTGGAGTAGGAGATGTGACTTCAGTGGGGGCAGGTTACAGTGTGGATCCACTGGAACCTCACCGTGAGGGGGACAGCGAGGCCCGATGACACGTCATTGCTGGAGTCTGTGGTCTTTGTACCTCTTTAAAGTACAGCCAAAACAAATGGCTTCAGAATGTCCTAGAAGGAGCCAGATAACTAAAAATAACCTTTTGCTGTTAACAGAAACACCGCCCTAGGTTGCCCTAAACCCTCTGTGGATGGTTGGGATGAGCCCCTCTGGCTTCAGATGGAGCATTCTGGAGCCCAGAGAAAATTCCCAAGTGAAAGTGGTGGTGGAGGATGTGGTTGTCCACCCCCTGGTAGTTTGCCACGTCTGCTACTGACTTTTCTCAGCACTTTATCATTCATTATGAAGTGTTTCCAGCCCTCCCAGAGGCCTCGTGAGGACCAGTCTGGCTCCCATTGCACTGAGCTCAGCCCAGGTTGAGTGGGTGCAGGGATTCCAGACTGCTCTAGGCCTGTGTGTGGGCTCTTTCCCTGCATGGGTCTGGCTGTCTTCAGGCTGGGACAGCCCACCACTGCAGGCCTGAGGATGGGGTGGGTGCCTTCTTCCCCAGGCAGCTCGAAGTAAGGCATGCTGCTTTGTCTTATCTCTGGGCTACACTTACTGCCCTGTGTCAGCCCTAAGTGCAAAGAGCCTTTCTTAAGAGGTTGTAGGAGGGTTCAGCACCTGCTACCCCCAACCAGCCCTTGGCAGAGATCAGAAGATGCCCACGGGAGTGGTGAATTAAGAGTACTATATCTGATTGGCTCTCCACCCAAAGGCCTGCCCTCAGAGCTGACTGTCCAGCCCCATAGTCACTTGCCACTCTTGGGAGTCCTTGACATGCTGCTGGGGCCACGTAATATTTGTGATATGTTGGATTAAGTAATATAAATTATTAAAATTAATTTTATCAGTTGCCCTGCCTGTGTGGCTCAGTTTTTGGAGCTGAGGTTGTGGGTTCAATCCCAGGTCAGGGCATATATGGGAGGTAACTGATGGATGTTTCTCTCTCTCTCTCTCTCTCTCTCTCTCTCTCATCTCCGCCTCATCGGGGACATTGATAGTGAGGGAGTGGGGGTGGGGGAGGGGGAGGCGTGCACATGGTAGGCAGGGCGCATAGGGGAAATCTCTGTACTTAGCACTTAATGTTGCTATGAATCTAAAACTGCTCTAAAAATAGTCTATTAAATTATTTTTAACTGTTACATTTTTCATAAGTCAATTAGAACATTTTAAATGTGATTCACCTCATATTTCTACTGGACAGGGCTGCTTGTACTTAATAAAGCCCTACAAACAGTAGGCACACAATGAAAGGTGCAGTGTTCCCAGCCAGGCTCAGAAGGCTGCCTGGCATGGCAGGTGCAGACCGAGAAGGGGTAGGGATGCGGGACGAAGGGCTTCATGCCTCTTCAACTGGAACTAGATAGCTCTGTTCTTATCAGCAGTGATTTATTTGTTGGGACTCTGAGATTAACTCACTGCTGTGAGGGAATGAGAAAAGAGGTGTTGTTCCTAGTTCTTGAGATTAAGGCTTGGAGAGGGAGTGGCATTTATATCCTAGACTGGGAGTCCAGATCTCTAGCTCCCAGCTGCCGTTAAACAAGACAAACCATGCTGTTTCTCAGGGTAAAAGCAGGAAATGATGAATTGTCTTTATTTTTTCCTAATAGACTTTACTTTTCAGAACTGTTGCGGGTTCATAAAAATATTGAGGCAAATTATGGATTTTCTATATAGCACCCCTCCCCTCAGTATCCCCCATTATCAATATCCCACACTAGAGTGGTGCATTTATTACAAATGTTGAGCCTACACTGCCACATTATTGTCCATAGTCCATAGTTTATATTATAGTTTGTACTTGGTGTTGTGCATTCTATAGGTTTGGACAAATGTGTATTGCCTTGTATTATTATAGTCTCATACAGAGTAGTTTCATTTCCCTAAAAAATCCTCTATGTTCTGCCTATTCATCCTTCTCTCTCCAGTCTTTTACACAATTTAAAAATTTGGATTAATTTTAGATTTACAGGAAAGTTACAAGGATAATACCAAGTTCCTGTAAACCCTTTACCTAGCTTCCCCTAATGTTAACATCTTCCATAACCAGGAACACTTGTCAAAATCAAGAAACTGACATTAGTACATGACAGTTCACTAAACTCTAGGCTGTTTGATATAACCATTTTCTCCACTAAAGTTATTTTTCTGTTCCTAGATCCAGTCCAGCATCAGCATTGCATTTATTTGCCCATTTCGTCTCCTCTGTCTCCTCTGATCTGTGTGAGCTTTCTAAGTTGGTCTTGTTTCCACAGTAAGCGTGGTGTGTGCATACATGCATGTGTGTGCACACATGTTTGGAAGGTTCAATGTCCTTTGAAAATGCTCTTAAGAGTTCCAAAGCTATGGCCAGTTAAATGGGGTGTTTTTCCAGCATGGGTGTGAGCATTTTGCCACAGCTACCTTCTCTCACCTCTTGTATATTTTTTTTTTTTTTTTAATATATTTGTATTGATTTCAGAGAGGAAGGGAGAGAGGGGGGGGGGGGAGAAACATCAATGATGAGAGAGAATCATTGATCGGCCGCCTCCTGCATGCCCTCCACTGGGGATCAAGCCTGCAACTTGGGCATTGCCCTGACCGGAATCGAACCGGTGACCTCTTGGTTCCTAGGTCGACGCTCTACCGCTGAGCTACACCCGTCTGGGCACCTCTTGTATATTCTTGTCCATTTTGTTGTCTGCCCTCAGTCTCTGAAACTGTCTTTTCTCAGAAGTCTCTCAGTGATGCATTTTCTCAGGGGCTTAGACTTCTTTCCTTAACTGTGGGTGAGGTTTATTGCAGAGTACTTTCAGGCACCTTGCCAGCAGCTCGCGTGCCTGTGATGTCTGTGCAATCAAAGCACCCTTAGGTGTGTTTGCAGTCACTGCTGTGCCGACTTGGCTCTGGGAGAGCCACTTGGCATCAAACTGGAGAGCAGGGAGAGGTCTGTTTGGGTGTGTTTAACATCACTGCTTTTAAACACCAGGCAGTTTTTACAAGTTTCCTTCTGAATATTCTAGGACGTTGATGTATCAGTGAGTTTAAGCCGAGGCCGGGAAGGAAGTAGAGACACAATATGCCTGCTCTGCTGGGTGCTGTGCTGAGTGTAGCCCTAGGAAGGAGCATCGAATTCTCTGCACAGTAGGTTCCCCTTTCCTGGTTCCTCAGTCACACTAGCAGCTCACTGAGGGCAGCACCTTATTCTCTGATCTATAAATGTACATCAGATTGGAATGCTTAGCAGCGGTTCTCAACCTGTGGGTCGTGACCCCTGTGGCGGTCGAACGACCCTTTCACAGGGGTCGCCTAAGACCATCCTGCATATCAGATATTTACATTACAATTCATAACAGTAGCAACATTACAGTTATGAAGTAGCAACGAAAATAATTTTGTGGTTAGGTCACAACATGAGGAACTGTATTTAAAGGGCCAGAAGGTTGAGAACCACTGGCTTACTGGCTTAAGATCCCCAGTGCTTGTCATTGCCCTTTGAATAAACGGAAGCTCCTTACTGTGGCCCTCAATGCCTCCTGGCCTCATCACCTCCTGTCTTCTTGACTTCAGCTCCTCTGGTGTCTTTGACCTAACCCCCTGCCATCAACTTGACTAAGACCCTGGCATCTCCTTGAACTCAAAACCCGCTATCCCCTTGACTTCAATCCCTGACCTCAGCCCCTGCCATTCTCCTTGAGCTTAGCACCTCTTATTTTCTGGAGCCCTTTCATTCTTTGAGCACACCTAGCTGCTTTCAACCCCAGGGTCTTGGCTCACCAGTCCCCAGCCTGATACACCTGTGTTTGCATGGTGTCACTGAATGGCCACTTCAGAGCGGCTTCCCTGAGCTCTGTCTGCAGACAGCTATAAGGGTAGCGCTCATTCTGTGATCTTTGTGGTGTGTCCACTCTGCTTGCACCCCTCCCTCCCATCTCACCGCAACTGGGAACTGTTGTGTCACATGTTGTAGGTGAGAAAACATGGCACTGATCCTGGATACCTCCCAGAGTCATGCTGTCCCTTCATCCTTTTATTCTGGAGGCCTGTCTCTCCATGGGAAACCACCTCACAGATTTGGCTGATGCATTTGTTTGTGTGTTGATCTGCCTTTCTTAACCACATCGACATGATGTTGGCTCCATCACATGGGGGCTTGAAGTCATTGTGGTCATCTTCAGCTTTGGTAGAATTTATTTGGGGATGGAAGCTAATGTTGGAGCCTGCTGTGTGCCAGGCCTGGCGTAGAGTCATGAGAGGTACACCGTGTCTTTTCTTCACCGGAGACCATAGGCAGTTTTCCTCCTGGTGTAGAATTATTTTCAAGCCCATAGAATAATCTCGTAAGGTGCCTATCTAGTGAATATTGAGGTGGCTTCCAAGTCTTTGGTCTCCTGCTGGGTTATTTTAGCAGGGGTGTGTGTGCAGAGGTTCCACATCCACAAATTGCCCCCCTCCTATCAGAGGGGTCTTGGCTGGGCCCTGTTTCTCCTCTGGATTTGAAGTTTGTGGAGACTACCACCTTTATTCTGTGTTTGAGTCTGTGACAGAGCCTCAGATGGGGAGCCGTCTTTGGCTTCTGCTCCCAGCTGTGCCTTGTGGGATGGCTTCAGAGAGCAAATTCTTGTCTTCTTACCACAGGTCATCGACCCGGCCAGAGGTAGCCAGCATCGAGCCGCTGGGCCCGGACGAGCAACAGTGCTCCCAGAAGGCGGTGGTGCAAGCCCGTCTGTCCCAGCCTGCCCGCCTGACCAGCATCATCTTTGCAGAGGACATCAGTAAGGGCTTTGAGTGTCCTGTGTGGTCCCTGGGGGAAACCATGTGGCAAACATCCCACTGAGAGCCCAGCCATAGATGCCACCAGAATCCATGGCAGTGCTTTCTATTTCTCCTGTTGGGTCAGAGGACACCCAGGCAGGATAGGGACACTGAGCAAGCAACATAATTACCCTGGTCCCTCCTGCCAGCACTTTGTACAGTTTTCTCTGACATGGAGGCTGGCTTTCATTTCTAAATTAGTATTTATTACGCAAATAACTTGTAATGAGTATTGAATCAAAATGAAGAAAGTTGTTGTAATCCTTTCACTTCCCCATATTTAATTTACCATATTATGGTTGTAAAATGCTTAAAAAATAATATAATTTTCTGTCTTGCTTTTCTTCCACCTAACATGATATGAACAGTTTTTCATCTCATTATAGAATTCTTTTTAATGGCTAAGTTATATTCTTAACAGGAAGTTGTCCTGTAATCATTCCTTACATTGGACATGTATGTTGTTTTTAGATGTTTATTTCAGTGTTACATAGAAAAGTAAAAATTCTTATTCAGAGAATTATTATTTTGGGTTCTGTTAGCCATTTCCAGCTAATGATAGATTCCCAGTTTTACTGTGTGCTGGTCAGCTGCTTGCCTTCTGAGGCTTAATTTGGTTCTTCCAGCCCTGTTTTGTGGTGCTTGTTTTGTTGGCTGCTCTAGTATTTGCCAAAGTGTAAAACCACCTGAACTGCAAAGCCCTGGAGGTGGGTGGCAGTCATGCCCTGGCACTCCGTCTGACCCCTGGGTCCTGTCCCTTTAGCCACGGGCCAGGTCCTGCGCTGTGATGCCATCGTTGACCTCATCCATGGCATTCAGATCGTCTCCACGACCCGCGAACTCTACCTGGAGGACTCGCCCCTAGAGCTGAAGATCCAGGCTCTGGACTCTGAAGGTGAGGACATCCTCCTGGCAGTCTCTGTTTCTCTCTTCCCTGTGTCCAGCCCTACCATTCCACACAGAAGGCTGCTCCAGCCAGGAAAGTGAGGTTGGTGATGGGGATGGGGAGGGGGCTTGAAGAGCTCTGGACCACCTGGGAGGTAAACCCCAGGCCCTTGGTGTCAGGGATGCCATGGCCACTCTTGTTTACTGGTCTCTGTAGTAGGGCTGGTGAGGTGAGAGCGTTTGTAGCCCCTGGAGGCTGACTCCAGGCATGTGCATAGGGATTGTGTTTGGTAAAGGCACCTCTTTGAAAAGTGACATCTGAGTGATGAGAAGCTGGGATAGGCTCCTGGGTTACTAGGTTATAAACAGTGGGAGGCATTCTCCTTGCTTGGCTTTTGAGTGCTGGTATGACTTCCTGGTCCAGATGGCAGATTGTGTGTGTGTTTGCGTCTGTGTGTGTGTGAGAGAGAGAGAGAGAGAGAGAGAGAGAGAGAGAGAGAGAGAAACAGACAGACTCTGGCACACATGTATACTGCTGTCCCCATGTAGTATCTTTCTTCATTTTATCAGAATCGAATACTGAATTGTTCTTAGATCTATTCTGGCAGTCGTCAGACTATCTTCACTGTAGCCTGACCTTGTGGTAAAGGAACAAAGGGAAATTTTGTAGGTTAGATTATTTTTCTTTTCCTTTTAAATTAAATTTAATTTATTTATAAAATTATTTATCAATTACAGTTGACATACTTTAATTTTCTCAATTACAGTTGATAGGCCTTGTTGTCAATACATCAGAATGGCCAAGGCCGCTCTGAGCATGAGACTAATTAGGGTGCCCAAGGCCAAGATACCATGAATAGCTGCAAGGCCCTTCTGTAACCCAAATGATTGATGTCGCTGTTGGCAACTAGCCTTCTTTGTCTCTGGAGTAATATACAGGTTACTGACCAGGAGTCTGCTAGAGAGAGAGAGCAGCTGGGAGAGGAGTGTGTGGAGAAGCAGAGGCGGTAGGCACAGAGAATGTAGCTTCTATGTGTGCTGGAGAGGCTAGAGGGCTCAGATGGAGCTGAGAGCTGATACTGCTACGATGTAAGGCTAAGAGCTCACAGAGAGCTCAGATATAGCCACTATGTTAATCATCCAGTGTGCTGGGAAAGTGAAGCTTAGAAGTAGTTACTATGTGAGGCTACAGAGACCAGCCAGTGTGCTGGGCAGGAGAGACAGGAGAAGCTGCTGAGCCAGAGAGTTGAGATATCGCTATGATGCAAAGCGGTAAGTTTAGAGGCAGCATGCGGCTGCTCAGATAATAACTGTGGGTACAGAGACTGATGCTACTTTATGGGAAAGATATGTATTTACCAGCCGGTGTCCAGCTACCTGCCTGTATGGACTTTGCCGTGAAGAATTGTCATGTCTAATGGCTGTATGGCCACTGGTTTCTGCAATAAAGACGTATTCTTATATACCCACAATCTCTCATGGCTTCTCCATCTGCCCCACAAATTGACCAGTGTAACTAGTGAGCAGAGGATAAAGGAGGAACTTGGACTAAGTTCCCAACAGTTAGTACAGTGGGCAGGGTTTGAGGAAGAATTAGCCCTGTGCTTGGCTTAGTCGAATGGGAAGAATTTAGAAGAATATATGGACTCGAAGCCACTCAGAGCATCAGAGCTAAAAAAGGAAGGGATTAATAAGTACACAGTTACAAAATAGTCATGAGGATGTAAAGTACAGCACAGGGAATACAGTCAATAATATTCTAATAACTGTGTATGGTGCCTGGAGGGTACTTGAAATATCAGGGGGATCACTTTGTCAAGTGTAACCACTATCCTGTACACCTGAAACTAATACAGAATAATATTGAATGTAAACTGTAATTGAAAAATGAAATTTGACTTCTGATCAAGATGACAGTGTAGGTAAATGGGATATTTGCCTCCTCTCAAAATTACATCTAAACTACAGAATAGTCATCACCACCTGAAATCAAGCTGAATGGAAATCCTACCACTAGGGAATTAGAGAAGAAGCCCCATCGAAGCTGGTCGGGGCAGAGATGTGGAATGGGCTGGTCCCACACCCACATGTGGTGGACAAAAGTCCAGAGGGATATCTCAGCTGCAGAGGTCCCCACTGAAGAGTGAGGGGTCCAGCCCCATACCAGCCTCCCCCCCCA